ATTGATGCGGCTCTAGAAGATTTTTTTGCGTATTGGCACGTGAAAGTATTTAGATTAATAAAATTATCATTCTCTCGGAACATAAAAATGGACAAAAAAAAAATGTCCCGAAACTTTTAAACGAGGAAACCGTGCAATGTAATATGATCCGCGTTGTGTTAATGCACAATAAACATTGGTAGTGCTTCGAAATGTAACTCAATAGTGTTTTTGGTTTTGTGAAATAGTATTGAATTGACACAGATACGTCATAAATATTTGTATTTTTTTTTTAAGGAATGAAAAAAGTGTGGCGTGGCATAATAACAAAAACGATATCTTCGATACTACCGAAATACTATTGATTCACAACGGTATTAAATGTAGTGGTATAACAAATCAAAAAAAAAAGTAACCTCTTCAAAAAATTATAAAAAACTTAAATGTCAAAAATGTTAAGTAAACAACCGGTTTTAAAATCTTTTTATTTTACCCGTTTGGGAATTCCGTTGAAACTCGAATTTACATATATAAATTATTTTTTTATATACTATCAGAAGAATACTGAATGCTTCTGAAAACAATTTTTATAAAATTAATAAATTTCAGAGTAAAACAATTAAATGAGTCGTGAAGTGTTCGACCCATAACATTTCTATAATAGCGATGTACTTTTTTTTCTGTGTTCGTGTATCTTGTCTTTTTTAATAAAAAAAAAAAATACCCCATACTCATTAAATCAGTATAAAAAAGTAGAGAAAATGCAAACATAAATCTCGATTTAGACTCATTTTGCCGTACGACTATACCAATAAAAAAAAATATATATACTTATCCTTTTGTATTTTTTAGCTTTAATAATAAATAAAGCGAAAAATGTTCATTTTCTCTCCCTTTCTTTCACGTATCTATTGAGACCACGACGTTGGTTTTCACGTGTCAAATTAAAGTCACACACAAACGAAGGATTATATATCATTAATTTATATACAGTCCAATAACTTTGAGCTAACATTTTATCTGTATGCTATGTATGCATGCTGTAGTGTGGTTCATAAAATATATACTTGGATTCAAGACCTCGCTAATAATAATATATTATATGCATATAGATGATTTATTTTAACTTCAACGTGAATCTCGGAAGGTATTGGTTTTACCATAACGCACGTGTGGGTTTTTTGTCTTTGTTTAATTGTATCTTTAAAATCGATAATCCGAGACTTAAATTAGAAGTTTAATGATCAGAATTCACATTACTTACAAGTTATAATTATTAATTTCAATCAAATTTAAAATAACACATGGCTTCCAAATCAATGATTGTCTCCAAAACAGTTCTGTCTAAGTGACACTGCCGACTGAGATGAATTATCATTTTAAGGATTTATAAAATCATTTTCCAATTTGATCAATCGATATATTCATATTTAACTGTCAAACATCTAAAAACAGTTTACTTAAGACCATCTGAAAATGCACTCGGCAATGAGTCAGAAATTTCTGCAAAAACTGAAGAAATGGATACATACGAAAATTATCCAGATTTTTTTATAGTATATTTTACGCTACACAACAGTTATGAAATCGTTAGAGGGTTGGCTGTGTTAGATTAAAAACAGTACAAATTTGAAGATTTACTCGTTAATTGTTTAGACACATTAGTATGCAAAATGGTTTTTTATGAATTGCAGGTTTTATTTTTTTGGCAAAGCGGTTCCAACTACACATTAAATAAGAAACTCTTTAAATTCTAGTTTGGTTGTTGTGTAATTAAGCACAGCAAATTTCAGACCTTGCCAATTCTCAACTGTAATACCTAAAACTATAATTACTAATCGGTCCCCGAGGTGTTTTATTATAGGGAGATGATATTATACCGGTCGATGCAGTCAAACGCACGCGGTCGGCTTGATCAAGTACAGATTGAAATAATTTGAAATCTTAATGCAATGCTCTGGCAGCCATACACACGTTAAAGTCTTTTGGAGTGGAACGAGTTGAAAATTGGATTCACATCATGGTAACTGGGGCCTAATTCGATTACTTATCTCTGCTAAACACAAAATCATACTAAAGCAAGTCTTGTGGATACAGAGTAGGTTATGTTCTATTGACAAATGGGTTAGGAACTAAATTTGTCATTATTCCTTACCACTTCAATCCTGATAATTGATCTTTAATGTTTTTTAATTATTTGAAGTATATGAATTTATATAAAAGTAGGAATATGCGTTAGTTTACATCCCATATTGTATTACATTTTTTTTAATTTTAGCTATAGTGGTTTTTCAACGAAAAATGTAATTGCCGGAAAAACTCTCAAGTCATTCAATATGTTTTAATTATATCTGTTTTCTATAAAAAGATAATGATGTATGTTTGTAGGTCTGTACTATCTTTGAATTTTAACTATTAAAACAAATTTTACGTGCTAAACTAAAATTAACTTAAAACGGATTTGAATAAGTTTTACCCACAGAACCATTTTTAATGTATCTTACTATAACCCTTTAATTAAGTATACAATGAATTGTTTTATACAACATTAATAATAATTTTAGAATGACCATTGTCAGTATTTATCACGCTAAAAAGCAATAAGAAAATATTTTTTTTTTTTTAAATAGCCGTGGGAAAACTAGGTACCTGGTATATGATTATGGCGCTCGGACGGTCTGCGATAGGTTAGGTATAGATTATCACAGACTTATATTAATGTTATTATGATACTTAGCGAATTTTCGCGTTTACCGTTAGGCCAATCAGACCCGCTTTTCGGCGAATTACAATATTTTCCTAAACGAGACCGGCCCAGTGTGTTGTTATAGGCAGTATCGACGTAACGTAATTGCTATAGTACAGTTCTAGTACAACCGCAATAAAAATAGTATTATTATAATAATATTATGCTTACGACCAACCGGTCAGGAACTGCGAATAAATCAATCCTCGGCGTAATAACGTTAAGTCCGAGGGGAAAAAATGCTTATGCGGTTCCTCGACTAGTCGTAGAAATGGTGAGCGCGTAAGCCCGGCCTTTGGCGAGGAACGACGGGAAATAATAATATTCATATAAATATTATTGTAATATCGCTATCAGTATGCTAAAGGCTATTTAAATCCGGCTTCACCCTGTCAATAAGACGGGATCGTTAACGTTTATGATTTTTTTATAGTCGCATTTTTTCACGGTTGTGTTCTGCCAATATTCGGATTGAATATGCCTTACAAATTCCATATCCACCCAAATCGAACGTAGGTTGTTTTTTTCCTTCTTATTCGATGTCTCGCTTAAGGTTTCACTGTACACTTTGCGGCTTGTATTGGATAAAATTGATAACCTATGTACGGACTAGTGTAAGATGGTAGCACCCTAGTTATTTCTCAAAAGCAAGGGATTTCTATGAGTTTTAAAATAATTGGAAAGCCTGCTTATGTGTTCAGTATACACTGCACACTTATTTACATTCGTTTTTTACTATTTATAATAATTATTACTTCAATAAAAAATACAAACTAAACAGCGTATGAAAAAAATAACTTATGTTGTAGTATTTATATACTATATTTTCAATTACATAATCTCTAACTATAGTGACTTGTTTTTTTTTACAATTTGTTAAAAAGGAGTATTATATTTGTTTATTTTATTATTGCTTACATCAACTACCTCCAAATAAAAATCATCAATTATATTGCGAGTAATAACAATAACGCAGTTCGAAATTGAGTTAACTCTTAATGTGCATCAAGTATTATATTATTATGGTACAATTGTTTTTAAATATATTTTCATCGCGAAGGCAGACACAGTGAATATGCAATGAGCGAAAATCATCCACTGCGTTTTTATTCTATCCCTCGGAGGCCGTTCACAATGTCACATTATTAAGTTATTTTTATTCGACAACGGGGGAAAAAAATGTACCCTTACTATATTTAAAGTCCTACCGACGCGATTAAGTGTGCTATTGTTATAAAATCGTGACTTTACTGGTTTCTCAAACGATTTGAATCGTTTTCAATCTCCCAAAGACGGCTGAAGTTTAATTTTATAAATAATATGTATCTGAAAAAAAACTTTTATTTCTAAACGCATAATATTTATTTAGTATTTTATATTCAAGTAAGTATAAAATATATTTTTCGTTTTATTCCGTCGTCTTATGCGTTGACGGTCCCGATAAAAAAACAAATAATTCGTGGTGACGATAATACTTTATGAATAATAATTAATTATGTTACTGACTTTGATCAGAACCTATAGCGGACGCTCCAATATCGACACAGTTCTATTTTAATTCATTTTAAGTGTTATTGGCACACACAGACAGCAACTGCAATGTCGTGGCCGTGCGCCATTGGCGTATCATTAAAGTTTAATGATCGAACACTTTACACGTCAATTAAGTAAGTTTTAATTGCGTTACCGCTATTAATATTCTACACTGGCGTCAAAGGTAAATCGACGATTGGTGTACCTATTTGGGTCGCATAATATACGGTCTAATAACTTTTGACGAGTCGGGCACCTATTTCGCAAATATAATGATATGCAGCTCTCGTCCATTGCTCATTATAATATATGCATGTATCATATGATGAAATTATGGTATTAAACAAATTTATATCAGGCGTATGCATGAGTAAAATGATGAAACAATTGATGGTATTAAAATAATAAAACGTTTTTTGCAATTTGAATTGACTAAAATATGTAGTGAATATTATACATTCCTACTCATTTATAGACAGTTCGATGATAAAATAATAAACAAAGTCTGTGGTTTGTCCAACAAACAATTTGTTTAAACTAAACCTAATCGGTAACATATGATTGTATTATTGATACAGTTAACGGTATTTAGTGTACTGACAAAGAGGTCATGGGAGACTTCGACGTCCGTAGGATTTATGCAGCTAATATATGTGCGTTTACTAAAGGGATCGGGAAAACTGACCAAAATGAAAACGTATACGTTCAATAAATTAGTTTTATGCTTTTTCTCTGTTTGCAGGTCTCCTGGGTTAGACACAGGGACATCCACCTGCTGACCGTCGGCAGGTACACGTACACCGGTGACCAGCGGTTCCGGTCGATTAATCAACCGCCCAGCGAAGACTGGACCCTGCAAATCAAATACCCACAGATCAGAGACTCCGGAATATACGAATGCCAAATATCCACCACACCCCACATCAGCCAGTACATTCATCTGCAAGTGGTCGGTAAGTAACAAAATTCCTTCAGCGCTTGTTCCGCGATAAATCGTCCCAAACCGTGTGTTGAAAGCATCGAGTTTGTATTCTAATAATACATTGACACGGACACAAACAATCGTCAAGTATACAAAACAATAAAATATTAACAGCCAAAAGATTGTGGTTGAATTTAGCTGTTTTTTTAATAAAAACTGGGTTATTGTAAATTTCTATTACATTTCAATGTGCATATAATATATAAATAACAATATAGCTAAAAACATTTTCTTTTATGTTCTTTCGTTTTTGATAGTTGTTTTTTACAAGAAAATTGTTTTTATTGCTTGATTTTTCATTTATAAAGTCACAATGGGTCGTAAAAGGTTGTGAAATATCTGAACTCAACCGAAGCGTTTACTTGGGTTGTTCCAACCATAACGAACTGTTTAACTAAGGGTTTATATTTAAAAAAACACAAATTTGGTAAGCAAACTTTATAAATGCTTTTTATGTACTACACTTTTATTCAATCGTTTATTTCGCTTAATTCTTGCAATAAATAATTAAAAACAAAAAATTATATTTTGCCAATATATATTATGTATGCCTACATAACATATACGGATAAATGTGTATTTATCAATTTGTAGATTAGATTAATTCAATTTCTTGAAAAAAATATAAGAATTCTATTTTTTGGGGTTGTATACATATGTTCAATATTTCCAATTGTCAGCTATACTGTCTCATGAGAGAACGGCAGAAACCAAAACGAATTACTCTTGTATGCACCTGTACACACAGGAATGACGCTTTTTGGTTTCTGCGCACGTGAGACAGAGTCGCAGTTATCAACAAACAAATAATCTAGACAAAAATAATAATTATTATAATACAAAATAACTCAAAATTCGTAGCAAACAAACTTCGTTGTTTACCAACAAACACTAGTTATAAACACTTATTTCTTTCTCGGTCGGTCACTGAACATGTGAAAATATTATGTGTTGTGTGTTATAAACATTGCATTTTTCGTTAATATTTTAAAGCGATTGCGTTATTAGATTTTTTTAAATAATACTATTAAATTAATATAAAGGCGTGTTTTATGCCAAAGAAACAATTATTTTTTTAATGTTACAACTTCCTAATACTTCCGACCAACTATTATACATTATTTTGTTTAACGTTTTTAATGATAATTATGCCGTAGAGTTTTTAATGAGTCCTTGTACGCTTGGGTAAAGTATAATGGGAAAATGTCGCTTTTACACGAATGTCGGCCAGACATATATCATTTTTGCATTGTATTTGCCATGGCTTACCAAGCTGTAACCATGTAAGGTATATTATTGATCCAGGTCGTACAATGAATGGGAATTGTAGTAGAATGTACATTGTTTCTAACTAAAAAAAAAAACTGAGAGAAATGTCAATACCACAGTTGTTCAGGTACCTAATGGACATTGTTTAGCAAGAAGTAACTTGAGAGGCATACTTTTATTAATTTAATTGAACAATTTTTTTTTTAACTTCGATACAGAGCTGAGATGGTATTGATTTCACAGTGATGTGTTTTTACTTTATTTGTTTCTATTTTTGTGTTGGAACCCACTAAAATTATTTAACCATTAGACCGATAAGTTCAGGTAGCAAGTCAGAAATCGTACACATAAAGTAATTTATCGGACCAAAAATGAAAAAAGTTTCCGACTTCCCATTTAAAATTCAAAAATATAACACAGTATAGGACGCTTATGTGTGAAAGAGAAAAAATAGACGGACGTCGGAAAAGGCGACGAATAGAGAAAACTGTAAGTCAGAAAGTGAGAGCGGTATTAGTATAGGAGTAGTGGGAAACGTTGAGGAAGAAGACCCAAATAGCTTATGTTCATAGAATAATGATAAAACCCACCGAAATCGCAGTAATACATGAAAATGATTTACAGTTACAACAGTTACGTCGTTTTACGCTCATTAGGGATTTTGAACATTATAACGAACAACTAACAAGTATAAATATAATACATACCTAGTGCTATACATAATGTCATTATGGTATTAAACGTTGATGTGAACAAATGTTAAAATTTACTCCCGCAACCTATAACAGCGTTCAAACTTACAACGTTCTAGCGAAACCGATCCATAAACTTTTGTTAGTTGATTGCGAAATGGAAATGGAAATTCCAAACCGATAAAACTTTCCATACTGGCGTGTTAAGTATTATTGAACGAACGTCTTGTAAACATTTATCGGCGAATAAAGTCAAATACAAATTCGTACAAGGATAAAATCGTTATTTCCTTTATTTTCTTGATTTTCTTGTCTTACCAAACTCGACCGTTTTTATCTGTTATGTGTTTTGTATGATCGAGGAAAACACACAAAAGAACCGTATTCCAGTTGTAAAACACAAATAAATCAAATAGTACTAGAATGTAAACGCCACATCAATTTATCGTTTGTAAAACCGCGTTCGTTTTGTTTCTTGTAGGTTAGGTTTCGATTGATGATGATTTAAACTTACTCGCTCGCATTGGACTTTAAGAAATAAAATACCCGATATGTTGTTAAGCTGAGCTCGTAGGCAAATCAGAATTGAAAGATGGATTAGTGCGTTAACGGTAAAACCAAGGAGAGGCCCATTATTCATTACTATCACTGCAACGGCTGCGAAATAATTTAATATTTACATAGGTAATTCATTCTAATGGACTTCGTGTAGGCAAATCATAAATTATGAAGGGTGTAATATAATATGTATAATTTCCATTTAGTTGATGTAGTTTAACGTTAACGTACGGAGAAAGATAGAAAACCCAATAGAGCGGGGTTAGTTGTATGCATAACGAGTAAATAAAATGCCCTTTAGACATTAGATAATTATCAACGTGAGCAGTTATATAAACTTCATAAGACCTGAGTTTTGGTTAAATACATTCGACCCTACTTCATAATGTGTTTTTGTTTGTAATTTGTTCACTTGTTCTGTTCCAGATTGTGCTAAGAATTTTTTAATTTTATTTTAAAACGGACAATACGATATGATATTAAGCGATATTATTAGTAAAACAACCCTAATACCGATCAATATTAATTATTTGATTTCGTCCATGTAGCCCAATTAGTTTGCATTGTCACATGTCCAATTACTCAAGTACACTTTCGTCGTAAATAAAATTTAAAAAAATTATTTAAAAAAAATCCAATTACTTGGCTTACGGTTTTAAAGAAAAAAAATGTATGGAGACCGTACTACACCGTATCACCCAATAAGTCGGGTCAATTAAAGGCAGTTGTATACAGTTTTAAAGCAGGCTGTAAAACGATGCATAACATCATGGATTATTTTAAAGCCGGCATAAAGAGAAAAGGTCGTGTAACAATAACGGTTTTTTTTTATGTGAAACATTATTTTCTATGGCCGTCGCTAAACGATTCATTCGGATTTATTTTCTACTACAATTGTACTTTGGAAGCCATTTTCATTTCGCACAAATAACATAATTATTAGTTTTTTAGTATTATTTTTTTTCATTCTTTAGTTTTCCAGTATACCGTGTATGGACCGCTCGTTCGACTACAATTATCGTCGTTAGACTACCACACCGTCGCCGGCATGGAGTTCCCTCGATTTTGCTCGTTTAGGCGGCTTTGTGAAAATTGAATTTCCATATTGTCCGTAGCAAAATTTCGCTACAGGGACGCAGCGATTTACATTTAGTTTGTACCGATGCACATCAAACGAGCACAAGAGGCCTCAATGTAGATTCCCATAACTTATTCCACACAGCGATTTCCACATTTGAATGTTTTCTCTATTTTTTCGTTTCTTATGAAATCCAGTAAAAAAATACTGTGCACGTAAGATTACTTTGAAAATAAGCTTTAAGCTTTTGTATTATTATTTGTCTTCTTACCAAAAACCTGATGTAAAAAAATGTCAACATTTTTTATAAAGTATTACCATTTTTCGATAAATTGTTGTTACAGCGCGTTATTGTATATTCAATTGTTTTCAATCCACATAACCGGATATCACAGGTACCTACCTCCTAAAATAATATATAGAAAATAAACAAATAATCAACTAATTAAGATTTTAGCCGCTCCGTTTGCATGGTATTAAACCATCAGCGTGTCGTCCAAATTATTTATGGCGTGGGTCAAAATGGTAATTTTTTTATTAATTTCTCAAAGTAGGATTATAACGCCCGAGTATAAAAAAATATATATATATATATATTAATTCTTCCTTCAATCCGTGTTTACTCGTTTTAATGGGTTTTTAATTAAAATTTAACCACATCTGGCTACGTGCAGATAACGCAACGTTATCCAATTTAACATACAATAATTGTTAATAATAGCGATTACAAACAATTCACATTAGAAGATAAACAGCATAGTTTTGGTGAACGCTACCATATCTTAATTTTACCAACACATAACATTACATCAATAATATTGTTCAATTAATTATTATTGTTATAATATTCGACTGTTTTTTTTTTTTATTATTTTAAGGCAAAATTGGTATTGTATGATTTAAGTTTGTCAAAAATGAAATAAACATTGAACATTTTATAAATATAAATTTTATTAAGGAAATTGAAAAAGTCACAATAGGACAACACTAACTCACAAAAACATTTTCAAATATCACAAACGTATATCAAACGTTATGTAATGTTTATTGTAAAGATTGCTCGTTGAAGCGACGCCAAGCAGCCATTATATAAATTCCAAACTGTTTCGTGCAACTGAATCGAAAAAGTTTCCAATGCCTCTGGGCGGTGGCGTTAAATAACTGCTTGTAACTAACCAGGAAGTACGGAATTAGGAATATATTCAATGTGGCGTGTCGTGTATGCAATTTTAGTACATAAACGTCTTGCGCACATTACATTGCCTAACCGCTCTCACTCGGTCGGATTTACGACATTGAACGGATTTTTTATAGAATGAGATGTGACCATAATAATATGTTTTATTTTCAGATAACTTAATGAGCGAACGAGAA